ACATGGGGATAGGCGAAGTTTCCTTAGAAAGGGCTTTCTTGGGGGGGGGGGTGGCACTGCAGGTGCGCGTGCGGGAGGGGTGTCATGGTGGCACTGGGGCCGCAGAGCATCGCTCTGTGACCGGAGACAGCCCCTCGCCAAGGAAAAAGGCACTAAGGGGAATGGGGGTGGCTTTGGGAATCGGTGGGGAAATAAAACCCCCAGGCTGGGGTCTGGCACTGCCCTCCCCGGTCCCAGCCGAGCGGGATGACGCTGCTGGCTTCCATCGCCTTCCTGGCCGCGCTTGCGGTGACACTGGGACACCCTGACCCCGCGCTGGACTGGCACTGGCAGCTCTGGAAGAAAGTGGTGGGTGCTGCTCCAGCGTGACCATCCGCCGCATCACGCAGCAGGGAGAAGAGCCGACGGCGCTTCGAGGCACTGCTGGTTCCCAGGGGTGGTTTGGCAGGGGCTCCCGACAAGCTTTTGTGGGATAAAACGGGGTGAAACGGCTGCAGGGGCTGTTGCTGCACACCACGAGGCTGCGTTTGATTTCAGAAAGAGGAAGGGGACCGGCGCGCGACGTGGGAGAGGAACCTGCGGCTCGTGATGCTGCACAATCTGGAGCACTCGCTGGGGCTGCACTCCTACGAGCTGGGCATGAACCACCTGGGAGACATGGTAGGTGCCGGCCGCGCCGTGAGGCTCAAGCGTGAAGTCATCTGTTTGGTCAAGGGGGATGAAACGCGCCGTGTTGGTGATGCCGCAACCACGTGCCTCAGTCCCCGGAGGCTGCGAGGATAAACCTGGTCCTTTCGGTGGGGTGGGATGCGTGGATGGATCCGCTCTCCTGTTGCGCAAAGTAAACCTCAGCACGTCGCGAATGCCTCCGTGCTCCTTCCCACCAGACCAGCGAGGAAGTGGCGGCTTTGTTAACTGGGCTGAAGGTCACTCCTCCGTCAAACCGGACCTCCACGTACCGACCGCAGCCTGGCAGCGAAGTCCCGGACACGGTGGACTGGAGGGAGAAGGGATGCGTCACGGATGTGAAGAACCAGGTTTGAAGCTCCCTCTGTGCTTCCCCACGTCTTGGTCCCGTGGGGCAGCACCTGAGCCTCTCTGGGGCTTTTGCCAGGGCGCCTGTGGGTCGTGCTGGGCGTTCAGTGCCGTGGGAGCCCTCGAAGCCCAGGTGAAGCTGAAGACGGGGAAGCTGGTGTCCCTGAGCACCCAGAACCTCGTTGACTGCACCAGGAGCTATGGGAACAAAGGCTGCGGTGGCGGATGGAGAACCAAAGCTTTCCAGTACATCATCGACAACCAGGGGATTGACTCGGACGATTCCTACCCCTACACGGCTCAGGTAGGCATCGGATCTGGGCAACGCTTAGGCTGGCTCAGCTTAAAATGGAGGAATTAATAGTCCTGTTGCTTCCAGAGGAAATCCACTTTGGAAAACCATGGAATTGTCCGTCTTTAATGCCGCGAGCATTAGTTCTGACTCACATAACGCAGAGCAGGACTCTGCGCAGGATCTGACGCGTTTTCCCCCTTACCTTCGTTTGCCAGGACGGTGCGTGCCGCTACAACCCGACGGCGCGGGCAGCCACGTGTTCCAGGTACATCGAGCTGCCGCACGGCGATGAAGCTGCGCTGAAGGATGCCGTCGCCAACGTGGGACCCATCTCTGTCAGCATTGATGCCAGTCAGCCCACCTTCTTCTTGTACAAAGCTGGTGGGTCTTCCAGGGGATCTCAAGATAGGGATGTGTTTTCTTTCCCGTGACCCAGCTTCCTTAAATGTAAATTATTTCAGCTTTGACTTGCGTTTAGCTTGTGTTGCCCTCATTCTTGGCGACAGGCATTGGTGACGCCTCCCAAAGAGTGAATTTAATTCCCGTTCGGGCAGTGACTTAGGGCAAGTTGTCCGAAGGCTGTTTCCAAATGCCTTCCAGGTATCTACCATGACCCGAGCTGCTCTCAGGAGGTGAATCACGCCGTGCTCGTCATCGGCTATGGCTCTTCGGATGGGGAGGACTACTGGCTCGTGAAAAACAGGTACAGCAAACCCAGCCGCCGAGCAGCTTTTCCTTTCAGCCTCCGCTCCGAGGGGCACCCTGGAGGTTTCAAAGACATGCCAGCGATGCGCTTTTAGATGCCCATCAGCTTTCTTTAGACGTGTTTAGGGCTCGGCTCCATCACCACCGCGATGTAAAGGGCCCTTGATTAAGCCCTAGAAACCCAAATCGACGTATGTCACCCAAAACGCACCTGCTAACTCCTCAGTGCTGCGAGGCGGCTCAAAAAATGGGATTTCTGCTCTGTAGGAAACACCAGGGTTTCCAACATTCCTGGATGCTGAGTCAGCGCAAAGGGCTGGTGCTTCTCGGAGAGAGAAACCGAGCTGGTTTGATTTGGGGACATGCTGGCGAACCCCCTCCGGCCAATTTGGAGGCACAGCCTCAAGGATCATTGCAGCTGGGCTGCCCCTTGCATTAAAATGTATTTTGT